CTGGCTGACATCTCAACCTCTGCTCATTGGTTCAAATGTTAAAAAGTATTTTCTTCCCTGACTTCCTAAAGGAGGTTCTCTCTTGACCACTCTCTACTTAGGCTAATTGCACTCGTCACTCTTGAAATCACACTATTTATTTGTTCACCTGTTTACTGTCTATTTCTTTCTATAAATTCCAAGATGTCACCGGGCGGTGGTGGCGCACACCTTTAATCCCAGTACTTGAGAGGCAGAGGCAGGCAGATCTCTGTGAGTTTGAGGCCAGCCTCGTCTACAAAAGTGAGTTTCAAAGCTACAGAGAAACTCTGTCTCGAAAAAAACAAAAACAAAAAACAAATTCCAAGATGTCTAGGCTATTGTCTGGCTGCTATGTTTTAAAAAATGTCCACCACAAAGTTGCTCTATGAAACATTTGTCTTTGCCAAATAAAATATTTAGAGTTAATAAAACATTTTCAAAATAATGAATTTTGATTAAACAAAGCCATTTCTGTTGTGAGGTGAAAGCAAACCTGAAGACTAATAAATTAATTAAGTATTAAAATCAAAATATATAATGTAAGCTTTTAATCAGCACAATTGCAAGAACCAATCAGACAGAATAAAAGTCAGAGGAAGACTAAGGTTGTGGTCGGTACACTGCCAAAAGAAGAAAAGCATGCTTCACTCTTTTCAAGAGACCCCTTTCAGAATCAAACACTGGGTCTCTTAAGAAAATGCAAATAATAGCTGAGCATCCTTAATCTGAAGTCAAAACTGAAATGCTTCCAATTCTAACTTTCTGAGAAACATGACGCTACAAATGAAAAATTCCATACCTGACCTCATTAGAGTAGCCAAAGTCAAAAATATGGTGCACCAAAAGTGTTACATAAAGTTACCTATAGATGAATGACCTGTTTAGATTTGGCCTCCATCCCTGGGAAGTATCACGTACATGATATATCCTAAAGTCCCCAAACTCTTCTAATCTTGAGCATTTCTCTCTCTCTCTCCCTCTCCCTCTCCCTCTCCCTCTCCCTCTCCCTCTCCCTCTCCCNCTCCCTCTCCCTCTCTCTCTCCCTCTCTCCCCCCCTCCCTCTCTCTCTTTGATTTTCAAAACAGGATTTTTCTGTGTAGCTTTGGATCCTGTCCTGAAACTTGCTCTGTAGACCAGGCTGGCCTCGAACTCACAAAGATCTTCCAGTCTCTGCCTCCCGAGTGATGGGATTAAAGGCATGTGCCACCACCGCTCAGCCAATCTTAAGCATTTCTGACAAGTGATATCTAACCTAATATACATAACCACTTCAATATTTGCCTAAAGCTAGGGCCAGTGAGATGACTTAATGGGTAAAGGCACTTGTGCCTGAGTTTGATCCCCAGGACCCATATAATGAAAGGATAGAACCAACTCTCACAAGCTGCCCTCTGACTTCCACATGTGCCCTGTTCCATGTGCATACTGTGGCAAGCAAGCAGCCAGGCATAAACACGCATACACACGCATACACACACATGCACACACACACACACACACACACATACACACACACAAATATGACTTTTTTTAAGAAAAGGAATTCCCTAAAGTCTATGCAAGTGATGAAGACCTACAGCATAGAAACAAGACATAAATTACTGTTGATTAGTAGAGGGGGAAAGGGATGAAGAAATGAGGAAATCCAGGTAAACAATGTGTTCTATACTGTGACACAGCATAAGAAGAACAGATAAGTTAATTTTAAACAAGGGGTAAAGTATCTGAGGACTTCCTATCTAGTGGGACTTTAAAGTTAAGATTTTATGTTTAAAAATATCAAAAAGGCCAGGTGGTGGTGGCACACGCGTTTAATCCTAGCACTCAGGAGACCGAGGCGGGTGGGTCTCTGTGAGTTCGAGACCAGCCTGGTCTACAAGAGCTAGTTCCAGAACAGGCTCCAAAGCTACAGAGGAACCCTGTCTTGATGGGGGGGGGGCGGGGGGGGGGGGGTTGGAAAGGTTGAGAAGGATAAGGAGGCATATAGGATCAAGATACAATGAATATGTATGAAATGCCATCATGAAACAGACTATTTGTACATAACTTTTATAAATTCGTTAAAAATATATCACGTAAAAAGACTAAGCACAGCAATGGAATGTGTGCCTGTAATCCTAGTACTGGAGAAGCAAGGGACTAGAGGACCACTGGGACTTGCTGTGCAGCCAGATTAGCTAAACTAAACAGCTCCAGGCTCAGTGAGAGACACTACCTCAAAAATCAGGTAGAGAGGGACTGAGGAAAAAAAGAAACTGGTATCAACTTGTGGCCTCCACATACATACATATATACGCGTGCATATAACACATACACAAGCACACACATAACACATAAACAAACTGAAATACATATTATATATTTGGAAAATGTCTATTATATTGACAGAATAATTGAAAATACTGGAATGTTTTCTATTCAATTCTGAAATCTGGTTCTGCAAAAGCTAAACTAGGTTAAGTTTTTATTTTCTTTTAATTATGATTCTCTCCAAAAGTTTACGGTTTAAAAAACAAAGAAAACCAAAACAACAAAACTTTCTAATGATTCCGATCCAACCTCCAAGCTCTTCTCCTTTCTACAATGCAGTCTCTAGAGTAAAGAATCAATTTATCTCCTCAACGCAGCATGAAACTAAGACCTTTGGAGAGGTAGTGTGAATCGAGACCTCTCAGAAACACAAGGAAGGAGTTAGTTGTTTTCCCAAGGCCTTTCTGGATGAAAGGGATTTAGTAATTTAAGACTAAGACTAACAGTGGTAACTAAAAACAAGAAGACCCACCCTTCCTTCAAAACACGAGGTGGATATATTTTAATATCCATAACCCTAGCAAAGAGTATCGCCAAAAACAATTTTAAAGTCCTAATATCCACAAACAGTAAATCATGGGATACTTTTACAATTGAACATCAACCCGCAAACTATCAGGATAATTTTTTTCCTTTTTTTTTTTTAAGTTTTCTGAGACAGGGTTTCACTGTTTAGCCCTGGCTGTCCTGGAACTCGATTTGTAGACCAGGCTGGCCTCAAACTAACAGAGATCTACCTGCCTCTGCCTCCCAAGTGCTGGGATTAAAGGCATGCACCACCACCGCCCGACAAGGATAAATTCTTTAAGTGTTGAGTTAAAGTAGCTGTAGAATACCTGTTCCAACTCTATAAAGTTCTGTAACAAGGCAGACTATGAGGTGTGTATTCACATAAGATGATGATCGAACTATTAAGGCAAGCAAGAAAATGGCTAACACTGCCAATCTGGGGAGCGAAGGGTTGTGACCCGTGAGGGAATTAATAACAACTGTTCTAGTGGCCTCCACTTGTGGAGGACTTTAAAATCGAATTGTTTTCAAACAAACTAGGCAGAAGGCAGATAACAGAACCCAGAGACTTTCTATGCCTGTTTATATTCTGGGCTACAACCATGATTCTTCTTTTGGAAAATAAGTAAAACATGTTTTTGAAAGTTTTATTAAATAATATCAAGGGTTAGCGTTTGAAAGAAATATTGGATGTAGTATTTATCTTCTTATCTCTTTCTCAATAATTAAGATCGAAGGAGTTAGTGCAATGCTCAATTAAAAAAACAATTGTGTTTTGTTCTTGAAGCAGAGTCAAATGTGGTAACTGCCCTTTATAATAACAAATAACCTATTCTACTTTGAAATTACTGTGGCTTAATTTCCTGAAGTGGACAAAATGTACTCGAAACCCTGAAACTGGTAGAATAAGTTTAAATCAACGAATATCATGGGACACGCAAATCTGCAGGGAAGGGCGCGATAAGAAAACACAGAACACCGTCACTGGTGCAAACTTTCTTAAAGTCTAAATCCTTGACTGAAGGTTATATACAAACACATATATAATTATGTACACGTACTTCGGCATTTTTAGGTAATCAAGTACACGACAGCCACCTATTTGAGACGTAAATAACTTTTCCAACAAAAGCCAGCCTATCCTGCCTTTTCTCTATGCAAAACTCTAAGAGAAATTATGAGATTTTCATGCAAAATCTCAATCTCCGCCTTCACCTGCCTCCCAGTCTATAAAGAAGAGACTGAGGGGACAAGGGGTCGGGAAAAGACAGGTTGAGCTTCCAAGAGCCTCAGCTTGACCCCACTGTCTCTAAGCAAAACAGTGTCTCCCAACACCCAGCTGAGGCAGGAAGCGAAGCGGTCACCATAGGAACTGGGCTCAATCCTTAACTCCACAGAAAGGTTTGCTCCAGGAGGCCGTCGCCACCCCCCACCCCCACGGCCCACCCCGGGCCACCATCAGACCCCAACACTTCTCCCCACCCTCTTGCAGCCGCCCCGGAGGGGCTCTCCTCTAGCCCGGTGCACCTCCTCGGCTTCTACCTGGAGCTCTGGAGCCCTCCCCCGGCCTCCCAGGCCATCGCGCTCCTCGGAGCTCATCCCGGCTACTGACGGGCCTCCCGCCCTGCGGGAGATCTAAGCCGGCCCCGGCCTCCATCCTCCGCCCCTGACTCCTCCTTCCCACGCCGTGGACCCCGCCCCAGCGGAGGCGGAGGCCCGGCGGGGCGCTGAGGGAAGAGGGCGGGAGCGGTTAGCTCCCGGCTGGCCGACGCCCCGCCCTCACGCTCTGTACCTGAGGGGGGCTCTCCTTCCACCTCCCCGGCGCCTTCGCTCCGCTTCCGTCCGGCGCGCCCCCAGCCCCCGTGCGCACGCGTACCTGGCTCGACACGCCCTCTCGCGGGGACTACAAATCGTGCGCGCGCACCGGAGCACGTAGCGACGTGTACAGCGGCCGGCCCGCCTTTCTAGGGCTCCGACCAGAGGCCTTGTCCTGGCCCATCCGCGCCGCGCAGGCGCACGCCCACGCAGCGCCTAGATGGCCGACCCGTGCGTCCCGTCTCCTAGTAACCATCCTCTAGCCCGCGCCTTTGCGGAAGCTGCCGGAGCGCGCATGCGCGGTGGTCGTGCCCCCTTGGCGCTAGAATACCTGTTGCTTCCGCCAGGCTTTCAGCGCGTCGCTGGAGCCCGAGCGTTCCCGGCTGAGCAGAACGGTTACTCCCTAGAGCTGCTCCGCTGCGCAGCTCCTGACACCGTCAGGAAGCTGTTCTGTGGGAGCCTGCAGGTGGGGTGCCCTGTTGCAGCCTCCCAGAGGGAGCTGGTCTGTCCTGGTGAGCGTGACAGCTGAGGGCCACCCCTCGGCCTGGGTCAGGTCTGCCCATCCAGGCAGGATGGAACTGGGAAGTGCCAGACCCCGCAATAAACGCTCATTTTCCAAACTGGCATTTCTTCTCCACATGCCAGCCCTCCTCCAAGTTCCCTCTCTAGGAAAACTGGCGATGGAAAAACAAGAAAAGATATAAAACCTCGCCAGATGTTAAATTCTGTATCCAGGTTTTTACCCCAAGTTTGGCTTCTAACAGGAAGCCGACTTCTGCCTTCTTTTAGCTTAACTGGTGTGGTAATTTTAACTATCCAGCTGCGTTAAAATTACATCTTGAAATGAAAAAGTGGAAAGGAATGAGCGCTGGTTTATGCTGCCAATATTTAAAGTTTAGCTTGGAAAGGTATTTTCCCTCAGTGCTTCTGGGCCCTTCACCTGTTCTATCCAGCTTACTCAGAAGCTTACTTTATTCCGTTTTTACTTATTTTTATTAGAATGCAAAGTAAATGGGTTGCATTGCGGCATTTGCATTCATAATTTGTTTCTGTTGATCCTTCTGCCCTTTTTCTCATCTCCCCGCTTTTGTCTTTCTACTTCTCCCCCATCTGTTTCCATGTCACAAGTGTCCTCTTACTCCCGAAGCCACTTTTTTGTCCCTCACCTTGATCTATACCCACACTCACATCCTTCAATACCCCCTACTTATATAATTATTTTTAAGATTTATTTATTTATTATGTATAGTGTCCTGCCTGCATGTGTGCCTGCAAGCCAGAAGAGGGCACCAGATCTCATTATGGACGGTTGTGAGTCACCTTTTGTGGTTGCTGGGGAAATTCAACTCCAACCTCTAGAAGTCGGTGCTGGAATCGCTGAGCCATCCTGCAAGCCCCCTACTTATGTATTTAAAGATAGACTCTGTATACGAGAAAGAACATGTAGTATTTGACTTAGTGAGTCTGGGTTATCTCACTTAAAATAATTTCCAAATCCGTCTATTTTCCTGCAGATTTCATGACTTCGTTTTTCTTTATAGCGAAGTGAAATGCCATTGTATGTGTGTAGTGTTTATTATTGACTCATCTCTTTGGGACATCCAGGCTGGATCCATTTCCTGGCTATTGTGCATAGAGCAGCAGTAAACATGGATGTGCAGGTGTTCCTGTGGGAGGATATGGAGACCTTTGGGTATGTGCTGGAAGCCACATAGCTGAGTCCTAAGGTTCTATTTTTGGTTGAGACATCTTCACACTAATTTCCAAGGTGTTTGTATCAGTTTGTACTCCCACCAACACTGTTCAAGGCTCCCCTTCTCCAGACCCTTTCAGCATTTGTTAATTGTTTTTCTTGATAATGACTATTCTGATTGGGGTGAGATAGAATGTCAAAGTAGTTTTAATTTCCATTCATCTGATGCTGGCGAACACTTTTTAAAACATTTGTTGGTCATGTATGTTTCTTCTTTTGAAAATATCCCATTTCATTAGCCCCTTTATTGGTTGACATTTTTATCTTTGGGGGGTTTAATTTTTTTCAGGTCTTTGTAAAGTCTAGCTTTAATTTTTTTTAATTATTTTATGTGTCCTGGTGATTTGTCTGCATGTATGCCTGTGTATCACATGCGTGCCTGTCGCCCACAGAGGCCAGAAGAGGGAACTAGATTCCCTGGAACTGAAGTTACAGGTTGTTGCGAACCACCATGTGGGTGCTGGGAATTGAATAAAGAGTTCTCTGGAAAAGCAGCTACTGCTCCTTACCACTGAGCCATCTCTCCAGGCTTTAATTTTAGCTTTTAGCCTCCTGCCTGAAGTACAGCTAGCAAAGATCTCTCTCTCTCTCTCTCTCTCTCTCTCTCTCTCTCTCTCTCTCACACACACACACACACACACACACACACTGTGTGAAAAAGCCTGTGTTCACTAGGCTGCTAATTTCCTTTCTTTACTGTTCAGAGGCTTTTTAAACTCACATACTGAATCTGAGGGTGCCTGTGGTCCCGTCTTCCTGGCTTTTCCTACAAGATTTTTGCAGCTGTCTTCTGATGCTACAGTTTAAACTGTGCATTCAGAAAGCAAGATCGCGTTTGAGGAGGCATAAGAATTGTTTCTCCTGCATGAGTACTCACGTTTCTATAAGGTATCACAAGCAAGCAGATGTGCTACTTGATAACTGTCTTGTTCTTCAGGATCGTATTTTTTCACAAGGTATTTTTATCTTTATACCCTTTGCTTTCATAAATTATATTCTTTGTAAGCATAACTAGATGTTATTATAATAGATTAAGTAAAATGCAGCAGACAGCGGGCCTTGAGACCAGGCTGCAGGTCCCCGAGCAGGGGCAGGTAGAGGGCAGCAGGTCCCAAGAGCAGCCAGTCCCAAGCAGGGAGAGCACAGTTCCCCAAGTAGCTGCAGTGGGCCATGAGGGGCAGTAAGTCCCATGAGGAGAGACAGACAGATGGGCACACCATGAGACCACACCACAGGTCTCTGAAGGCGGCTGTCCCCAGGCAGGGAGCCATGCAGTGGGTGAAAGACAGACTGATAGGTACGCCATGCAGAGTGAGGTTAGATATTTATTTAGTGGGTTATGGAAGGGGAGAGGAGAAGGGAAAAGAGCAGAGAGAGAGAGAGAGATACACAAAGAGAAACAGAAGGGGGAAGGGGAAAAGTGGGGAGAGACAGAAGCTGCCTCTTCAAGAGGGAGACGGAAAAGGAAAAGACTCAGGCTGGAAGCTGATGATCAATTTGCCTTGGTGAACAGGGAGGAAGTGGGCGTGGCTTGTCTCTTAAAGGAACAGAACAGACCATTACAGTTATCAAATTAATTTTAATGTCCAAATGCTTTTAGATAAAACAGACAGAAGACCCAGGGAGCGTGTTTCCACTGAAATAATAGTAATTGATTTTAAATAAAAAGTAATAAAGAAGTATGGGCTCTCAAAGAATCCTGAAAAGTTAGGGGGAATAATATGTAATCTGTAAATTGAACTCAGGAATCTGGAGTAGGATTATTGAAAAAAATAAGAAAGAATGTACCAATTTCAAAACTTACCCGTTGGGCTGGGAGTGCAGCTAGTGATAGAACACCCACGTGGGAAAACGTGCTTTGATCCTCCCATGAAAGCCACTCTTGGCTGGAGTTGAAGGAGCATAATCCCCACCATGTCCTAGTTTGCATTCTGTTGCTGTGATAAACACCATGGCCAAAAGGAAGGGGCTTATTTGTCTTAGACATCCTGATCACAGTCGATCATTAGGGGAAGTCAAGGCAGGAACCTTGGCCACCTAAGGACTCAGCCACCTGCTGTCTGCCCAGAGGCAGCACTGAGCACAGTAGTCTGGCCCCTCCCACGTTCTTCTTTAATCAAGGAATTGTCCCACAGGCTCGCCTACAGGCCAGTCTGTTGGAGGCAATTCCACAATGAAGATGCCTTCTCCTCCCTTCCAGATGGGTTTAGCTTGTGTCAAGGTAACAATAGTTAACCAACCCCTTAGAAAAAGAATTTTAAAACAGTTAAGCCCTTTGTGTCTATGTCCCCTAGGTGTTGCTACAGATTCTTTAGAAAGAATGCAAGGAAAAGATTCCTCTTAAGGCCAAGAGTTTGTGAAGATTTTCTTTTGTTTTCCTATGATGACTACTAGCTTTCTTCCCTAAACCAAGGAAGAGAATATCCTGGAAACCCAAAGAGTGGTGAGTGTTCCACCCTGCCACACCTTAATCCTAGCCCTCCTCACTCTTCTGAGGTTTGTCTGAATCTAGGCTCAGTTTCCCTATCTTTCTCCATTTTAACAGTTTCATTGAAAAATCTTCTCTTTTGCCTTTTCTGTATCTCTCAAAAAAAAAAAGGGGGGGGGCCTCTTAGTACACATACCTTAAGCTACTTGATACTGTCTGTTCCCACAACTTACTTTGCTGTTTTCTTTAAATTTGATATTTTCCATGGCTATGTTTATATACATATGTATGTATGTATGTATGCATGCATGCATGCAGATAGATACACACGTGTGTGAGAGAGAGTTTATGTTTGTGGTCTTAAGCCCAATTGCCTTATGTCTCTGCCTCTCCCTCCCTCTCTCTCTCCACAAACCCTCTGCTAGCATTTTCCCCATTTCTGCAGAGTTTCCACTCTTTCCATTGGTCATGCTAACCTCAGCCACAGCTCTATTCAACTGAAAGCTGTTTTCTGGACTCAGGATTTGTGTACATATTTGTAATTTTAGCATTGGGGAGGTAGCAGATGGTTCAGGAATGAAAGCCAGTATCCCCTCCAGTGAGTTCAGGGCTAGCCTGGGTTATGTAATACCCAGTTTCAAAAAAGGGTATGGAACTGGAAAGGACAGCCCAGAGGTTAAGAACACTAGCTGCTCTTCTAGAGGACCCAGGTTCAATTCTCACCATCCTCAAGGTGATTCATAACCATCTGAACTCTAGTTCAAAAGGATTTAATGCCCTCTTCTGGCCTCCACAGAATATGGTACACACATAAATTCAGGCAGAACAACACCTAAATAACACATAAAATAAAAAAATAAAATAAAAATAAATCTCTACAATAAAAATTAAAATTATATTTTTATTGCTGAAAGTTTGATTTTTTTAAAAGAAATCTTCCATTATAAAACACACCCTGTCTAAGCCAGACACTGGTGATGTATGCCTTTAATCCCAGTACTCAGGAAGCAGAGGCAGACAGATCTTCAAGTTCAAGACCAGCCTGGTCTACAGAGTAAATTCCAAGACATTCAGGGCTACATAGGAAACCCTCCCTCAAAAACTAAAAGTAAAGAGCTAGTTGTGAAGGCACATGCCTTTAATTCCAGCACTAGGGAGAAAGAGGCAGGCAGTTCTCTGTGAGTTCAAGGCCAGCCTGGTCTACAAAGGAGTTCCAGGATAGCCAGGACTGTTACACAGAGAAACCCTGTCTCAAAAAAACAAACAGCAGCAACAAAATATCCGGTGCATGCTCTGCTTTACCTTTACCTTGGGAATACATAAAATAGTTTCAATAACTGTGTTAACGTACTCATGTGCTAAATTCTGTAATTCGTGACATTCCTAGGTGTGTTCCTATCAGCTTCTCTGGTCTCTTGGTTACAGGTTATATAGTTTTTCCTGCTTGCTTTCATGCCTAGAAAGTTCGTTTTCAATTTTTAGATTAGTTAAAATGCAAAATAATGGGCTTATATAAAATTTGCATACATACATAGATAAAATTGCAAAGTCCCATTTTGTACTTCTCCTCACATTTGCCCCCACATGACACCCCACTTGTTCCTTTCCTCCCTCCCCAGTACTCCCCCTTCTACTTTCATTGTTTTTTATTTTTTGCATGTATGTGTGGTTTACGTGTGCTTGTGTTTACATGTGTATGGGAACACGTTCACATATGTGTGTATGCGTGGGTGTCCTGAAGCTGATGGTTGGTGCCCTCCTTGATAGCGCTCTACTTTATTTATTGAGGCAGGATCTCTCCCAGGTCCTAGAGCCATCTAATTCTAGCTAGTCTAACTAGCCAACCTTCCTGCAGGCTGCACTGTCTCTCGGGTGCTGGAATGACCGGCAGCTGTCATGCCTGCCCAGCTTCTCTGTGGATGTAAACTCTAATCCTCATGCTTGATGGCACGTGCTTTATACTCTGAGCCATCTCCCTGGTCATATGTATATTCTTCAAAAGTCCACATTAGACATGTGAAAGAAAGTGTTGTATTCGCCTTTCTAAGCCTGGCTTATTTTGCGTATAATGTTCTATAGTTCCATCCGTTTTCCTGCACGTGACATGTCTGAAGAAAACTCAGCTGTGGATATGTGCCGCTTTCCCGTTGTTGGGCATCCAAGCTGGGTCTGCATCTCAGCTGCTAATGAATAGTGGAGAGATGTGCGAGTATTTCCCTGGAGTGACTGAGATCCCTCTGGGAACACACACGAGTGATACAGCTGGATCCTGTGGTGTTTCTGTTTAGTTCCTTGAGGACCCTCCCTACTGATTTCCCTAATGGCTGCACCAGTTTCCATTCCAACCAGCAGTGAAGAAGGATTCTTCCTTTCCTCTCCTCCTCAGCCTCGTTTGTCGCTCTTTGACTCCTTGGCAATAGACGGGGGCAAGATAGATCACAATACAGTTTTAATTTGAATTTTTCTGGTAGCTAAGGATGTTTCGTGATTATATAACACATCAATGAATTAAAATTTTTATTATTAAGAATGATAGATATGACAGAGAAATTGATTAGTTACATTATTTTTTGGAAAGGAATAGATACAAAATCAAGAATATCTCCCTCTTAAAAACTTTCAGGGATTGGACTCAGCAGTTGAGAGCACTTGTTGCTCTTTCAGAGGACCTGGCTTTGCTTTCCAGCACCGACATGGTGGCTCACAAACATCTGTAGCTCCAGTTCCGGTTCCCTCTTCTGGCCTCCATGCGCACTAGGTGTGCACATGGTATACATATATACATGCAGGCAAAACATCACATGCACACCAAAGAAAACAAATTGATTAATTTAAAATAATACTTTCAAGAAAGTTGACAAGATGGACAGCAGGTACAGGCACTTGTCACCTCGCCTGGTAATCTGAGTTCAATACCAGGACCCACATAGTCAAGAAGTGAGAATTGACTCTCACAAGTTTTCTAAGTTTTTCTTTGGCTTACACACACACACACACACACACACACACGCACCCACAAAAAATAAATATAATTTTTAGAAGACCTTAAAAGAAGTCGATAGGCCCTACATAACTTCTCTAAAAGAAAATGTGAACAGGTGTAAATGGTGGCTGAAGAGATGACTCGTGATGCACGAGTGAGTACTGCTCCCGCAGAGGATCCGCATTCTCTGCATCTGTAACTAGCTTTAGGGACTCCAGCACCCTCTTCTGGTCCTGAAACCTTCGGGGCGAGGGCCCAGAGGTCTTGGGGATCCCGGATGAGCCCCCAAATGTTGTGCCTGAGTCCTAGGACCTCCAAGAAGACCACCACGGAGTCACACTTCCTAAGGCAAAAGCAAGGTTTCATTTATTAAGTATGGATTAGCACTCCCTGGGCACTGCACCTACATGCATAAACCCACACATAGACACATTAATTAAAAATGAAATTAAAATATTTTCCTAAAAAAAGAAAATGTAGGTTCTGGAAGGCAGAAGGTGGCTTTATGTTTTCAGCCCCAGTAGAGCATTCCACTTAAAGAAATATTGCCGTGAAGTTGTCAATATTCCTATTGCATTTACTAATCATCTGGTTTTCTTTTCAGTAACCAAACTGAAAAAGCAGTTCCACTACTTAAAAGGGGCCCTCACGCTCCCTTGATGGTTGACCAGCCGTCCCAATGGGATTTTTGCTGAGTAAAGCTGCCACTCAGACATCTGCTGTGCTTGTGGATTCGAAAGTGAACGATCACTTAGTGCAGGGAGCTGAGAAGAGTGGATTGGAACCAGTGACTCGCTTATTTCAGAACACCAACAAAATCAAGTTAGAAGACGCAGGCCACGAAAACTGCATGAGAGGGGAAGGGACTGACACCGGGTGGAATTCCATGGGCTACGTGAAGGAAAACGATGGCCTGGTGGTGACAGATTTAGAATGAAGTCACCTGGACATGTTACCAAAGAAATTTGCTTTTGATTAGAGGATGTGTTCAATGTAGCTGAAGTTCATTAGGAAGCCTAACGAAATGGAGGAAGAGAGAAAGGCCCTACCAAATCCAAGGTAGATTTCTGCAGAGTATACGATCCCTGTCAAACACCACAGCTATTTTTACTATCAGTTTTTTTTATTTTTACTATTAGTTTGGTACTAATGCACTTTAGTGTAATTAAAATAAACATTTTTAGCAAGTAGTATATAAGGGGATCTAAGCAAAGCACGGCTATTTCACCTTTTCTGGCAAAGTGCTTTCAAATCCTGTGCTTCCAGTTCAGAAGTTTGCTTTGGCGTCCTTTACCCTTCTACGTGTTCAGGAAGACTTTCTGTTCTGTGATAGAGCCCTGTGATTGGCTCCTTAGAAAAAAACAGAAACAGTTCACACTCTTATATCTTTTTCGGCCATGCTACCTTCATTTCAGAGTGAAGGCAGAGTTCTTTCCAAGTTGAATGTCTGTCTTGTAGTAACTACCATTTTATAACAATATCTCATATAATAAAAGCAAAAACTTATTTTGTATCTGTTAATATATTTGTAGTGCAAAACAAAAGTACTGTCACAAACAATGGCAGATGGAATGAAAACCCTTTTGTATCTAGATATATGGTGAATTGTAATGGTTTATATAATACATGGGTTTTTGTTGTTTGCTTGGTTGGTTTATTATTGTTTGGTTCTGGTTTGATGCTGGGGATTTAATCCAAGGTGTTGGACATGCTAGCATGCAACTCTGCTACTGAGTTCCACCCCGTGTTCCTGTAGGTTAATATTTAATGACTGTATCTATTGTCTAATTACATTATCTTCTTAATATTAGTTAAAAGATAGAGAAAAGGCATGTTGTTTTGGGAGGGGAACAATATTTTATGAGGCAGGCCAATTTTAAAGAAATGAATCTTGAACCTAACATTAAAAACATAGTTAAATGGAATATACTTCTTTTTGTCCTTCACAAAACCTAATTAATTCTCTTTTTTCTTCTCTCTTTATTTTTAATTTTATTATATATGTAGATGTTTTGCCTGCATTTATACCTTTGGCTTATGTGGGTGCCTGATGCCCATTGAGGCCAGAAGAGGGCATCAGATCCTCTCAGACTGGAGTTACAGTTGTGAACTGCCATGTGGGTGCTGGGAATGGAACCCGGGTTCTCTGGAAGAGGTGCTCTTAACCACTAATCCACCTCTCAAGCACCCAGAATACAATTCTTCAGAGAAAAAAATTGCAGAAGTCATCTGTTGTTTGTTCACTGTGACAGCTAATATTGATAGGTCACTTGGCAGGCTCTAGAATCACCAAGGAGACAAATCTTGGGTGTGTCTCTAAGGAAGTTGAAATGAGGTGGGCTGAATGTGGGTGGCATCATTCCGTGTGCTGGGGTCCCAGCCTGGATAAAGACTGCAAGAGGAATGCTAGCGTTCATACCTTTGGGGTCACTTCTTTCTGCTTCCTGGCTGCTAGTACATTGTGACCAGCGGCCTCACACTGTCACGCCTTATACCCTCAAACCATAAACCCCAGTAAACGGTTCCTTCTGAATTACGTTGCTTTTACCAGATATTTTGTCAAAGCAACAAGTAAAGTAATGAATTCACCTACTGTAGGGTCATTCTTGGGCTATAGCAAAGTGGCCACTGCCTTCCTAGAATAGTGGTGTGTTGGAGAGCATGATGCTCCAACAAAGTCAGCTGGGGTACCTGGAAGAGGGCACGAGGTTGAGGAAATGGCAGATTGAAACTGAAACAGAAAACACAGGATAGATCTGGGAGGTCTGTTTGTGAATATCACCCAGCCCCGAGTTTATTTCAGAACTTGCTTTTATACAGATTAAAGGCAGAAGGCAGAACAAAGAGCAGTACAGTCAGCTGACCACCTCCCTGCACTGTCCTTGGGAGGAAACACAAGCAGGTTCATTATTTCTCACACGAACCCTGCAAGCAGCAATTAATTTCTATTTCGATCTCGATGTTCCCAGGGTTTGGCGTCAGCATTATTCTTTCTACTTGATAGCATGTTCTTTTCTCATGGGCAAAAGGCTCTTTCCCAAGGGCTTAATCAGAACTTTCTCACAGCCCTCAGAGCTGCAGGCACAGCCGGTGAGCTTGAACTCAAATGACTTTTAAGTCATAATTGACTCCAAATGGAAACCAAGTCACATGTGGGCTCCCACAGAGGTGCCAAGAGGGAAGACACAACATTATACAGCAATTAAATACAAAATGTGCTGTGCCGGGGCTGGAGAGATGGCTCAGAGGTTAAGAGCGTTGCCTGCTCTTCCGAAGGTCCTGAGTTCAATTCCCAGCAACCACATGGTGGCTCACAACCATCTGTAAAGAGGTCTGGCGCCCTCTTCTGGCCTTCAGGCATACAGACAGGATATTGTACACATAATAAATAAATAAATAAATAAATAAATAAATAAACAAACAAATAAATAAATATTTAAAAAAAATGTGCTGTGCCATGAAAAAGGCAAAGCATCAGAAAGCCACCATGGCTGTAGCATAAACCCGATCGCAGCAACTAGGAGGACTTCTGGGAGTGGCATAACTTAGAGTTAAATGGTTATCCAGATAGATGACGGCAGTGCTAACCCAGATGAAGTGTAGCAGGATATAGCGATGGGATGAAGTGAGATGTGACCAAGACAAAAGGTGGGAGCAGACGCAATGAGGCTTCATGGAGGAATGAGGGCTGTAGATTGGAGACAGATCAACTTTCCAAAGTGTGGAACTATGAGATGGAGCTATTTATTTATTTTTAATTTGGATGCCCTTGTGCCCTGCCCTGCATTTACATAATACATTACACCATATTATGTAAAACTGTGTTGTTGGTTTTTTTTCCCAAGACTGATTTGTCCTGAGAGACTCCATTTTACAAGCAGCTTTGACTTGTTTTTGAAGATGAAGGGTGGCTCTGCTCTTGAGTGAATTATATATATTATATATATTCACATATGTATGTATATATATATAATTATCACCATCTGCCTCGCACCCTCAAGAAGCACAGACTAATAAATAACTTATTCATGGGCATAGACAGTGACCCATCCCATAAATTTATGAAGGTGAATTAGTACTATAAGAGCATATTACTATCCATATTAAAGTTCTATCAGGACTGTCAGGCTGGCTCAGCAGATAAGACACATGCCACCAAGCCTGACAACTTGTGTTTGATCCCCAGAACCCATTTGGTGGAAGAAGAAAGCATGTTGCCTTCATCATGTCCTCTGACCTCCATAGCATACACACTTGCAGAATAAAACACAGGAAAGCTGTGCCCTAGAACTTCTTAGCTCACAAGCCATGGAAACACATCAACTCTCTCACTTGGACCTCACAAAGAGCAGAGACCTATAACTGTGATGGTGAAGGCCCTACTCGCCTGTCATCCGACCTTCCAGTGCGTGTCTGTGTCAAAAGCCTGACCACTCCCAGCTCTCCCAGGGGCTTCAGCTCTGCTTTGTCCCAGATGTTGACAAAGGCTGCTCAAATTGCCCTCTGCCTGCCTGTCTGCTTGTCCGGACATGTCTGTCTGCTCACCCATTTGCTCTACGGACCAGTTCCTGCCCTTTCACCACTGCCTGTTGGACCCCACTCCACAGCTCAACTCTGATCCCGACTCTGTAACAGCAGCCACACCCCTTTCCAAAGCTTCCATTGGTTTGGTGTCTGACAGCCGTAGACTCCTTTGCATTTCTGTCAGTTTCCGATTTGGCCCCTCAGGCCTCATTAAAATTACTTAAAACTCCGTATTTCTTTAACCCTTTTGTAGTCATTCTGTAACCTACATATATTTATACAGATAGATTGATTTGCTGTGTAATGTATGTAATCTCAGATTTAATATAGAACATATTTAAATGAAAGAACCTGGGTTGAGCACTATGGCTAATGCCTTTAATCTCAGCGCTTGGGAGGCACAGGGAGGAAGATCTCTGTGAGGCCATCCTGGTCTATGTAGTTAGTTCCAGGCAAGCCTGGTTTACAGGGTGAGGCCCTATCTCACCAACAAAAAGGAAGTTTTAAGAAGAGCAGACAGGCCAGGCAGTGGTAGCCCACACCTTGAATCCCAGCACTTGGGAGGCGGAGACGGGCAGCTCTCTGCGAATTCAAGGTCAGCCTGGTCTATGGAGAGAGTTCCTGGACAGGCTCCAAGCTACAGAGAAAACCAAAAAAAAAAAAAAAAAAAAGAAAGGAAGGAAGGAAAGAGAAAAGAAAGAAGGAAGGAAGGAGAGAGAGAGAGAGAGAGAGAGAGAGAGAGAGAGAGAGAGAGAGAGAGAGAAATGCTCTTCTCTTCCCTTCAGCCTTGACAGCCCTCATCTCTATTGTCATTCAGAGGAACCCCATCTGTATTACATCTTTTGGTAGTTACTCGAAAGTGGCCTACGCCTTTTCCACAAAGCTAGTTTTAAATTCGTTGACCTGCTCTTAGCTGGCAAGAATAAGAAATAAATAGGAGCTCCGCCTTCTGGCTTGACCACGCCCTTTCTAAATCCTAGGGGTGGAACATATAGGAGGCGGGTCTTCCCGGAGGCGGGACTGTGGGGCGTGTCCTCCTAGGAGCTCTCCCACGAGGAGGCAGGCGTCCATGGGCGTGGCTGGAGGGGGAAGAATTGGGTCTCGCGTGCTGAGTGCTCCGGGTCCCCAGTGTGCAGATCCAGCCTTAGTTTGTAAAAACAAAGCTGCGGGCGCGACCGGAAGTTGCAGGTGGGTGAAGCCGGAAGCAGATCTAGTAGATTTGTTGCAGGCTGCGGCAGCACGCACTGAGCGGGAGTGGGTTCTGCATGTACCACGTGTCCCTCACTTGGGCCCCTCTGGCTAGTGCTCAAAGCTTTGCAGGTTACCCCAGTGCTCCGAACTTTTTTTTTTTACTATTATGAACAGTTGATTTCTATTAGGGTGGAGGGTAAACTAAGCAAGGCACTGAATGCTAGTCGCGTGCCCCCTCAAGAAGAGTACAACTTGCTTTACGTCCGTAATGAGATTCTGGACGTGGATCGCATTGTCAGGGAGGTAGCAAATTAATAATTTTGTTAAGGCCTTGTGAGGAAGGTGGGCCGGTGGTTTGGTTTTACCTTGCTCTCTGTTCGTGGAGAAAAGCATGTTTGGCAGTGCAAAGTATCTCCCAGAACATGGAAGTGCCTTCTGAGAAAAAATTATGACATTAATAATGAAGATGAAAACAGAGAGCTGGGGGTTGCTCGGCAGTATAGCTCAGACCTACCTACATTGAGCAAGTTCCTGCGTTCAGTCCCTTGCACAGCTAAAGCTTTTAAAATACGAATGTAGATGAGTATACTAACCTCGCTCCAGCACAGGCACCATGCCCGGGGTAGCTGTCCAACACAAGATGAACTCCGAGGGCTTTTTCTGTGGACTTTTGGTTCCTTTTTTTTCTGTCATTTTTTTTTTTTTGTCTTATTGGTCTTTGATTTATTTTTATTTTATTTTCGTGGGTTTATTTATTTATTTATTTTAAAGAAAGCGAGGACATAAAAAGTTGGGTGGGTAGGGAGGTGGTGAGGTCTGGGGAAAGGAGGGAAAAGAACATGATCAAAACACATGAAAAAATAACTAAAAAAGAGTATAGAGAGACAGAGTGACAGGATTCTGGAGTCTTTTACTTCTTTGTGCTAATCTATTTTTCTCAATGAGATCTATTGTAAATTCAAAGATAATTTATTTGGCTTTGTTGTACATTACTTAATATATTTACTCCTTACTTACTATATGAAAATTGTCCACGTATTTCATTTTAGTTGACATTTTCTAAAGCTTATCTTCACTGATTTCCTTTGAACACTCTACTATGGAGGTGTTCAAGGCTAAGGGTAAAGCTGAAAGGCAAGAAAAGCAACTGGTCTGGACCCTAAAATGAGTTTAGGATAATTCACAAATAACTAAAGAACAGAATCTAGTTGTTTTCTCATTGAATTAATTTTTCTTCTTTTGTCTCTGAAGCATGCTAACCCCATTTCCGGTGAAGAATTGCTTCTGGTTACTCTGCCACCACAGGGTCCCAGCAGCTGGCTTTAGGACCCCAGCAACACATGGGCTCATTTTACAGTCAGTCTCCAACGATGTGTATCAAAATCTGGCTGTAGAAGACTGGATCCATGACCACATCCATCTAGAAGGCAAGCCAATTCTTTTCCTTTGGAGAAATTCTCCCTGTGTTGTCATCGGCAGGCACCAGAATCCATGGCAGGAATGTAACCTCCATCTGATGAGACAGGGAGGTATCAAACTGGCTCGGAGAAGGAGCGGAGGAGGAACAGTGTACCACGATATGGGTAACATCAATCTGACCTTCTTTACCACCAAGACCAAGTATGATAGAATGGAAAATCTGAAGATAATCGTGAGAGCTCTGAATGCTGTCCAACCCCGCCTGGACGTGCAGCCTACCAAAAAATTCGATCTGCTACTTGACTGACAGTTTAAAATCTCAGGAACGGCATCAAAGATTGGCCGAGTGGCCGCTTATCACCATTGCACTCTGTTATGCAGTACCGACAGGACAGCGTTGTCATCTTTGCTGAAGAGCCCATACCAAGGGATAAAGAGCAACGCCACACCTAGCATCCCTTCCATAGTCAAAAACCTTCTGGAAAAAGATCCTGCACTGACCTGTGACGTTCTGATGAACGCGATTGCTGCAGAGTACGCTGCTCATCATCAAATAGATAACCGCATTAACTTAATAAACCCAGCAGATGAGACCCAGTTTCCTGGAATAAACAGCAAAGCCAAAGAGCTGCAAAGCTGGGAGTGGATATACGGCTGGACTCCGAAGTTTAGTGTGAACACCACGTTTCACGTGCCCCACGAACAGGCACATTTGCCAGTTCAGGTGTCCATAGATGTAAAGAAGGGACGAATTGAAACCTGTGATATAAAAGCACCTGACCATTGGTTGCCACTGGAAATCAGTAACAAATTAAACTCAAGTTTTATTGGCAGCAAATTCTGCCCCATTGAAGCCACCCTGCTAACAAATATATTACTGAGGACATGTCCCGATGACCAGCACTTACACAGCAAATGGAATATTCTGTGTGAAAAAATCAGGGGAATAATGTGACCCTGAGTAACTTGCTTTATATTGATGGTTTGAGTGATATTTGGAATGTGGTATTTGAACCAGGGTGGCCTCAAACTCAGAGATCTGCCTGCTTCTGACCCCTGAGTTCTAGGATTAAAGATGTATACTCCCGTGACCAGTTGTATCTGGGCTTGTTGTTGTTGCTATTGTTTTTGGTTTTTTTTACTTTTTTTTTTTTTTTTTTTTTTTTTTGGTTTTGGTTTTTCGAGACAGGGTTTCTCTGTGGTTTTGGAGCCTGTCCTGGAACTAGCTCTTGTAGACCAGGCTGGTCTCAAACTCACAGAGATCCGCCTGCCTCTGCCTCCCAAGTGCTGGGACTGAAGGCGTGCGCCACCACCGCCTGGCCACTGGCTGCTTCTTAACTCTACAACTGTCTCATCGCCACACTTTTGCTCCCACAGTACTGTGCATTTATGGGGTGCCCACTATATACCAAGCACTGTGTTAGCTGTTGTTCACAGTATGTGAAATACACGTCCTCTGACCTCAGGAACAGACACGGTAGTAACGAGGTGTTTGAACATATTAGACTAAAATTAAAGAATAGTTTTTCCATGGCGCACACATCCATTTAGCTTTTATACCGCAATGCTTTACAGAAAATGTCCCCAGCTCAATCTGCAGTTCTCACGGTAGTCTGCTGCCTCCCTGTAATAAATCGCCTGAAGTTTGCTCACCTCAAGTAATAGCAGCTTTTGATGCTCTTTCCTGAGAATTCCTCCTGTGTAATCACTTCGGAACAGAGCACAGATTGACGTTTAGAACAGTAAGCTCTACGTTTGGATTTGTCCTGAGGCCTGACCTGGACTCCCACGCATGCTAAGTTCATACGTTACTCACCCGCACCCCTGGCTGCACTCGACTCTTGTATTTAAAAGGAAAGATGGAGATGTGGTCTTGAGGAAAACTGAATTTCAGGACAGGAGTGGCCAACTGCATCCAACATTTCTCCAACACCAAATAGTACAAAGCTCCCAAAGTGCCCTGTAGAAGAGGACAGGGATTAAGGATGAGAAAAGAGCAGAGAAGTGGGTATAATCTTGTGACACACAATATGAAAATGTCACAGTGAAACCCATTCTGTTGTATAACTAATATATGCTGGTAACTTAAGTATAACTATTAAAGTGCCCATTAGGAGTCAGAAGTGATAGCACATGAGTCTCAGCACTCAGGGGCCGGAGCAGGAAAACCATCAGAGAGCAACCTTTGCTACAGAGTGAAAGCCAGTCCTAAGAAGGGAGGTGCCCACGCAGTAAGGTGGTGTCAAGGTCGCTCCTGACCTTAGTGTCTGCACTGCAGTGCCCCGGGCAGCAGCCAAGAGTGAATGAAGTGAGTGGAACAGCCGCACACACAACTCCTCCAAGAAATTTAGTTCAAGAAAAAAAAAAAAAATAGGGCAGTGGCTTGCTGGGGATGTGTGTGTCACTGGCTCCTCACTGTCTAGGCTCCAGTCTCTGGTGGAGATGGGTGGGGTGGTGTTGACTGAGTTGTCAGGACTGTGAAAAGATTTAGTCCTAGGTGCCAAGTTCCTCCTCTGGCTGGTACCACGCCTCAAGTCTTACCTTTTCCCAGCATTAGATTCCCGGGGAAATGCCGATTTATTGGGGACCATTATTTCAGCAGTCTGATAGTCGCAGGGAGGGGTACAGCAGTTCCTCTTTAGAGCATCTCTGGGCCCTGCCAGGACGGTTCCATGAAAATCACTGAACAGGTCAGGTTGACTGTATGTATGTTGTAATGTCGTAATGTTGGACATCTGGGCGCCAGAGAATGTCTCCTACAGGCTATCACTTATTTCTCTGTGTTTGGAGGCAGAGTATCACGTAGTCCTGGTTGGCCACAAGCTCTCTGTAGAGCCTCGAATGACCCTGAATTCTAGATCCACCAGCCTCCACCTCCCAGGTGCTGGATTACAGCCGTGCCCCATCAAGCCTGGCTGACAACCATCTTAACTGCCGGAAACGGAAGCCAGGAGTGGCCCACACTAGGTCTGTGCTGTGCTCTAGGCTACATCTTCAGCCATGTGTACTTTGGTTCCCGTTCTTAGGCCCTCAGCCCATCTGTCTCGTATGTGCACTATAACCGGTGGTTTTCGTTTTGGAACTCTGAACTCCCAGGAGCAGGATTAACATCCAGTTGTTCCTCACAGCAGCTGTGCAGTATCTGCTGACCTGGTCACCAACCACCAGCCGGAAGCTGGTAAAATCTTTCTGTTAACTGACTTAGAAAGAAACACTGCCCATCTACTGAACAACATTTTTACAGATCCAGAAATTTGTAGAAATGTAAACATTTACTGTTAAATTTATACATTATAAAAATACATTCAAAGTTTAAAAAAAAAAAAAAAAGGAAAAAGGAAGCTCAGTATTTGATTGTTGTGGTTTGAATATGTCCCCCAAAGTTCATGAGTTCAGTCTTGGTCCTTAGTATAGCAGTGTTGTGAGGGAGTCCTCTCGGGTGGCTGGCTCTGCTTCACAAGCTTTGTCATCTTGTTGCATTATTCTATGTGGGATGCAGAGAGAAGATCCTCCCCAGATGCCAAAGCCTAAACCTCTATTCTTTATACGTTATCCAGTGTACGGTATTTGGTCATAGCAACAGAAAAAGGGCCGAAACCACCTAACGCAGAAACCTACAGTTAGGTTAGTACACGTCATAGTTTTTTTGTGTGCTTGTTATGGAAAATGTCCACTGTTGTTTCATGACATGGTCTCAGATCCAAATCACAATATCCAAGGGAAAAACGACCCTATGAAGAAAAGAAGAATACTGTTAAAAATGACACACACAAAAAGCCACGCGTGATATTCCGTCTATAGTGCCAGCCACTCTGGAGGCTAAGATCCCAGGAGTTCATCAAAACAAACCAAACAGTTAATCATAAAATCATACCCGTGAAAGGAAAGGAGGAAGAGTGTATCTGGGGGAAAGGGGATGTAGGAGGAGGGATTGGGAGGAGAGGAGGGAGGGGAAACTTCAGTCAGAATATAATACATAAGAAAGGAAAAATAAATAAATAAAATCATATCCTACCTGTGGTCTCTTAAAATAATCAAGTCCCCTTCCAATTTTAAACATCCATCCACTGTTGAACCTAATGAAATTAGTGTAAAGTATCATATTCAAGACATATGAGTTCATTTTTAAAGCCAGAGCTGTTTAAGAATCATCACGATTTCCCCTATGTTTGACTCAGCTAATAAGCTCATTCTATAAGGAAAACAAAAGGAGCATTAAACACCATCAGCTAATCCGATTGGCTGAGAAAGAACTTAACCATTAAAGGGAAAGATACTTTTGAATTTAGCTTGCTTAAGCTCTTCTCTGTTAACATGTGGTTTGCAAAGGATGTTCAGGATGAGTGTGATGACATTTCAAAGGTGCCTATGATGGCTATTCCAGTTTTCAACTTGACTACATCTGGAAATAACTAAAATCCCAATGGCTGTGTACAACTCTGAGAGATTTTTTTTTTTAATTAAACTATTTGAAGAGAGAGGAGCCGGGCATGGTGGCACATGCCTTTAATACCAACACTCAGGAGGCAGAGGCAGGCATATCACTGTGAGTTCTAGGACAGCCAGGGATATTACATAGAGAAATCCTGTCCCAAACAAACAAAAAGAAAAAAATAAAAAAGAACTAATGAAACAACAACATTAAAACTATTTGAAGTGAGAAGATCCAGATCTTTTGAGGTGGGAAGGTCAACCTTTAATCTGGGCCACACCTTCTTTGGGCAACCTTTATGAAGGTCATGGAAAGAAGCCTGCTTTCTTTGCCTGCTTGCTCTCATTGGCACGTCCATTCCTTCACTGGCATTAGAGCCTACTTCTTCAGGATTCTGGTGTACACTGAAGACCAGCTGAACCTTCCAGCCTCATGGACTGAACAACTACTGGGTTCTCAGACCTTCCATTGGTAGACAGCTATTGTTGGACTAGCTGGACCACAGCCTGTGAACTGTTATAAAAAAATTCCCTTTTTGTGTGTGTGTGTGTGTATTCATTCTTTAATTTCTGTCGCACTAAAGAACACTGAATAACACAGAGCCACTATGCAGAGATGGAGATGGGGATCCCAAAGGCAGGCCAGCCCCTGACCTCTGCTTCAACAACAGCATCACTGCCATCTATTTTGCATATTTAGCGTCTGATTAACTCTGCATTAAAAACAAGAGCCTCTTTGCTGTATCATATGAAAGTCATTATGCTAAAGGGAAGGAAGGGTTCTTAGTGTGATCCCGAAGAAGCTGTATGTTCATTTCCTGATTAATACCAAACTACTAGAACATACCACTGAAGCCACACGAGGTAAATAGTAATTTCAGTAGGAAACGGATTATCTCCTATCATAACACTGGCTATGATCTGCACAAAAGAGCTCCTTCCCACATGACACAGAACCATACATGTTATTTGATTAGGAATGAACTAAACTCACTATAGAGTGAGGTAAGCCAAGATTTTTTGTCCAAAGTGCAAAGTTACTTAAGTTTGAGCTTGATTTGAAGCTTTAATATTTAAATATGTGTATATAATTATATTACATTGGAATTCTTAAAATGTGTCCCAACTATGAAAAAATAAAATATACACTAACCTGATTTCTCGGTCGTGTATAGATGAAGAATAGTTTACTTCCAAGAGCACGCCATGACTCCTGAGGGATTGCTTTATTTCTTCCAGGCCACTACTTTGCTGCGCATTCCCAAACCCCTATTGACGGCATAAAACAGAATTTACTCCCTCAGTTATTAATAACTTAAATTATCCATGAGCTACACAATCAATTCCATAGAGAGATTAAACTGAAAAGATTCTGTATTAATTTCAACATTACCGTCTCAAGGAAGCAACCGAAGAATGGGTAATTCTTCTCTTTTTTACGTATTGTTTTTATACAAACAATTGCTTTCCTCATGTGAATACCACACGACTCCTTCCTGCCTCAGTCTCCCTGCTGATAGGCGCACGGGGATGTGCCCAGCATCCTTAGATGTATTTTAGTGATGGTATTCAGTCATCAATGCGAGACTGCCTACTTCTTAGACTAATCTTAGAAATTAGAATTATTTGGATGCCCTTGTACTTAAAATACAGTCAAAAGAGACACAGCGACAATCC